AGTATGACAGTATTTTTTACGTATTATAAGTAGTAGATGAACGAAAATATTTAACCGTGATTTAATTATCTGAAGTATTTATGGTACAAGAAAATGTGGAGCCACATTTGACATAGGAATGTAAAGAGTTAATTTTAAAATGATTCTGTCATGATTTTATTATTACATATTTTGTTACTTGCGAAACAGTCTAATTTATTTTATTAGTAAACTTGATATTCTTCTGAAAATATAAAAACGTTTAAAAAAAAGTAGTGAAATACAATAAATTCATTTACAGAACTCATGCAAAAATGTGAAATTATAATTACTGCTATCAATTTTAAAATTATAACGATAGTAACAAAGTAGAACAAACTTCGTGATATTTAAAAGCTAAATACAAGTTTAAACCCGATATTCGCCATATTTTTAACAAATTGTTGCTTCATAATTGATGGGTGTAACCATTACAAGTCTGCCGTTTCATTAGAAGATATTCCTGAATATCACATAATAAAATTAGACGCGTCTGGAACTTCGTATGCATAAAACAAGTTTATTAATTCAGTTTCCGAACAGTCTGCAAGATTAATTATTAAGTATCTCAAGTTAAAAGAATTTCATATCGTTATCTAAAAATAAATAAAAATGTGCCGACATCGCTGTATGAAATGACTTTTAATCAGACTACGGATGTTTATGCATTTTTGACGCGTCAAAAACTGCAAAATAAATATAAATATGTAATCTATAGATAGCTGAATGATTTACTTGTATCTTGCAGATTATGTGGCGTAAATAGAGAAACAGTCTGCAGTCTACTTATGATATTCTGCAATATTGTTATATTTTTTATAATTTTTTAATTCTGTTATGTTGTAATAATTTTGTTATATTGTTATGTTTTTTATAGATCTGTAATATTGTTATATTGTTATAATTTTGTAATACTGTTATATTTTTTATAATTCTGTAACACTGTTATATTGTTATATTTTTATAATGTTATTACATTTTTTATAATTTAATAATACTGCTATATTTTTATATTTTTATAATATTACATTTTTTATAATTTTGTAATACTGTTATATTGTTATATTTCTATAATATTGTCACATTTTTTATAATTTTATAATACTGTTATATTGTTATGATTCTATAATATTGTTGCATTTTTTATAATTTCATAATTCTGTCATATTGTTATGATTCTATAATATTGTCACATTTTTTATAATTGTATAATACTGTTATATTGTTATATTTCTATAATATTGTCACATTTTTTATAATTTTATAATACTGCTATATTTTATATTTTTATAATATTGTTGCATTTTTTATAATTTTATAATACTGCTATATTTTTATATTTTTATAATATTGTTACATTTTTTATAATTTCATAATACTGTCATATTGTTATGATTCTATAATATTGTTGCATTTTTTATAATTTCATAATACTGTCATATTGTTATATTTTTATAATATTGTTACATTTTTTATAATCTTGTAATACTGTTATATTATTATATTTTTATAATATTGTCACATTTTTATAATTTAGTAATTCTGTTATATTGTTATGTTTCTACAATATTGTTACATTTTTTATAATTTCATAATACTGTTATATTGTTATACTTCTATAGTATTGTTACATTTTTTATAATTCTCTAATACTGTTGTATTATTATAATTCTTGCAATATTCTCATATTGCTATACCTCCATAATATAATCATAACTTCACTGATATTTTGATAGAAACAAAAATGAAAAGTTTTATTAATTACTTCACAAAAAAAAATCATTTCAACCCATAAAAATTCTCCACTCAAACTAAAAAATGCATCGAAAAATTCTATTTAAAAATTACGAAATTAACAAAAATTTCAACATGTTCCTCAAAAAGTTTGATGACCCCAAGATATCCGATTGTACATCGTTCCATTCATATCGTTCTCATAAGGCCTTTTGCCCTTCTCCGTTGAACTCGGGTGTGAGCCGATCACCGTCAGAACTAACGGTAACCCGGTGTCGTTTCCATCCCGATTGGATTTAAGAAACTTTTCCATTCGCCGTGAACGAAAGTACCAGCGTGGCACGAGCGTGTAGGGACGACACGGCGAGAGAGTGAATTTCGTCACTCGAACCGGACGACGAAATTTACATCGGGGAAAGATGTACTGTTAAACGACCGCACGAAGCGAAGGTGAAACGATCGGTGGCCCGTTCGATGGGTTCAATGAAACCGATCAAACCATCGATTCCATTCGTTTCGAGTCATTGCCACCAGAGTCTACAAAGTATTGATGATCTCAACTATTTGACTTGTTACGTTCTTCTAGAGGAGTAATTGTAAATGGGGGAAGGAATGATCGCAACTGATGATTGCATTCTTTGTTTCACATGAGACGAATAGTCTAGTCATTAAGTGATTAAAATATTTTAGAATCCTGTAGGAAATTAAACATGCACTTCTATATGCAAATTTTACATTCTACAAATTTTCTACCTTCTGTAATTTCTAGCAAACGGGTACACTAGGTTTTGATACGTAATTAAAATATTTTCACTGTAACATCCTGTAAGAAATTAAAAATGTTACATTTCTGTGCAAATTTTGCAAAGTTTCTATCTTTGTTCTATAACCTAGAAAACAAGTATTCTAGGTTATGTTTTTGATGTGTAATTAAAATCTTCACTTTACAATGCTGCAGAAAATTAAAACTTCAACGTAAATATTACATTTCTTTGCAAGTTTTGGAAATGAATTTTCTTATAATACTTTTCTTCAATTTTCTGATAATATTTTTTCTTCAGTTGGTATTTTTGTATGTCTTCCTTTATGGTCCTATAGTTCTTGGCGGCTCAAAATGGGGCTGTCGGAGAAGTACTAAATAACGTTGTATTAACTACATACACATGTATCAACTAAATTTTGGTAAATGAAATGTCCAAAGTAAAATTGAAGAGTAGACAATGTCTGAGTCTTGTTACTGGTTTATAACGAGATGTATAGTTTTGACGGGCAGCAAGGGCGACAGATATCCAAGCTGTCGATGCGTAGGCAGATGGATTTTTCTTGTCTGCCTCAAAGATGGACGCCATGTCACGGCAACAATGCCAACGGGATGAACGTCCTGATCTCGTCACTGTTCCCGGACAACGACCTCTCTGTAAAATTTGACGAATATCGGTCGCTTTCCATATTATTCTAAATTAGCAAAATTCACTAAAACAATGCACACATTAATGACAAATATCTGAACTTAAGTTATCTCGAGTCTAAACTAAAGAAATTTCTGTTTTACATATTTCAATATTTAAACTACAATTGAAATTTCTATTTTATTTTTCTTAAATAAATATTTCAAGCTTGTTCAAACTTCTTCTGAAATTAAACGTCAAATTCATATAAAAATTAGTAGTATTTAGACTTCGATTGAAATTTCTATTTTATTTTTCTTAAATAGATATTTCAAGCTTGTTCAAACGTTTTCTGCAATTAAACGTCAAATTCGTATAAAAATTAATAATATTTCGACTTCAATTGAAATTTCTATTTTATTTTTCTTCAATAGATATTCAAGCTTGTTTCAAACGTTTTCTGCAATTAAACGTCAAATTCGTATAAAAATTAATAGTATTTAGACTTCAATTGAAATTTCTATTTTATTTTTCTTAAATAGTTATTTCAAGCTTGTTCAAACTTCTTCTGAAATTAAACGTCAAATTCATATAAAAATTAATAATATTTGGACTTCGATTGAAATTTCTATTTTATTTTTCTTAAATAGTTATTTCAAGCTTGTTCAAACTTCTTCTGAAATTAAACGTCAAATTCATATAAAAATTAATAATATTTCGACTTCAATTGAAATCTCTATTTTATTTTTCTTAAATAGATATTTCAAGCTTGTTCAAACGTTTTCTGCAATTAAACGTCAAATTCGTATAAAAATTAATAGTATTTAGACTTCAATTGAAATTTCTATTTTATTTTTCTTAAATAGATATTTCAAGCTTGTTCAAACTTCTTCTGAAATTAAACGTCAAATTCATATAAAAATTAATAATATTTGGAGTTCGATTGAAATTTCTATTTTATTTTTCTTAAATAGATATTTCAAGCTTGTTCAAACTTCTTCTGCAGTTAAACATCAAATTCATATACAAATTAATAATATTAAATTTTGGGTTGATGCGTTTATTAAAATATAACCCTTGTTGTAATTCATTTGTAGTACATGTCATTTCCTGATTCTAAATTAACATGTGTATTATGGTACAATGAATTGTTTATAATACATTTTGCAATGTTCATTCGTCATAAGGGAGCCTTGACACCAAAAGAAATTCTCTGATTGATCAAATTAATTTCAAGCTATATATTTCAATCGGTCAATTACACCGATCAGAAACAAGGAAAGTTGTCTCTGAATTTCTAGAATCCTGGTAACACGTACACATATCGTCATAAGTGGTTATAAGATTATGATGTCATAAATGGTTGTAGCTTATAACATGGTGACATATGTGGTCATAATCCTACAAATGATTAAAATTAAAGATACAGAGACTGATTCTTTTGTACTCATTTTTAAGATATAACCTTCATTATTGCATCCCCTATTTGAATTAGCTGTGTGATACGTATGACATGGATACACATGTGTTTCAATAGATATTTTCATCAATTACAAACTATATCTATTTACACATGGAATTAACCTTGCTGTACTTTGAGGAACCTGACGTCCATACCTGACGCACTCGCACTCATAACATACTCGAATTTTATATACACTTCAACTTGAAGTTCAAGTCCAATAACCTTCATAGTCAAAGCTCGACATAATACAACTGCATATGAAATTGCCCTAAAATTTCACCTTGTTCCATTTTAATATTGTAGCTAGCTTAGCTCCAGTTGACAAATAAGTCAACAGACGTCCAATATTTTCCCAAAAAAGTCTAATCAATTGAAACTAAACGGTTGTTTTGCAGACGCACTAACGTCGATGCGGATGAATCGAGCAAGTTGGACCCGGACCGAGTTGATCCGAGCGGGGGCACGATTAAAAGTGAAGCCTCTTGACCACGTAGCCGGAGGTCATAGTGGTGTAGGCAGACGTTACTCTCTTCCGTCTGGTCTGCGGGCAAGGTGGAGTGCGAGCGATGGCCGCGAGTGTGACGAGGTCTGCCGCTTCGTCGAGCGGTATGGTAAGTGTGTTAACAACGTAAGCAGGGTGAACGCCCTCGATAGACCTAGACCCAAAAAGCGCTCGTTCCATGGGCAACTGCCACTGGCACTGGGTTAAGGCGAAGTCATGTGACGCGATGCAACCACACATTCGCACACGCACACGCGTCTACCTACGTACATGTTACACGCGTACACCAATGACATGACCATTACTTTCACGCGTATGCGTTCGTTTCTGCTCGCACGGACGCTACGGGGTTCGTCGGCCTGAACGTCTCTCGCGGAATGCCTTCGAATTATTTCCACTCCTCCTCGTTTTCTTTGCTCTCTGGGACACGCGCTTTTTCGGCTTTCCACCGTACTTTTTCTTGTGACAGTTTCTTTCAAGAACGTACGTTTGGATAACATGGCTGAATACATTGTTGGACAAATTTTTAAATTTCTTTCATTTCAAGATTTAGAATTGTTTATTTGGAACGAGAGGAATTTGTATGATAACGAAATAGTAACTGTATCTGTACACGTAGAACATGTATAGTATACATGTGTATAATATAGGATATATGTTTAGTAAAGACATAGAGGAACCTCTCATAGTATCTGTAATAATTCATTCATTAATCTAGCTAGTAACTATAGGATCTAGCTAGTAATTATAAGATCCAATACATTTCGAGTTCTCAATTCCCAATACATTTCGAACAGAAAAGTTCGCAGTGCAGAAAGAAGGAAGAAGTGATTGATACGCAACAAAATTGAAAGATGGTCCATCATGACTTTCTTTTGCAACCGAGTAACAGAATGATCCAACGATACTTTCATTTGCACCAGAAATTGAGGATGACCCAATAGTACTTTCGGTTGCAGAAGAAATTAAGGACGACTCAATAATATTCTCGGTGGCAGCAGACATTAAGCACAACCAATGGTACTTTCGGTTGCAACAAAATTTAAGGATGGTTCGACGTCACTTTCGAATGATTGAATAATACTTTCGTTTGCAACAGAAATTGATGACCCAACGATACATTTGGTTGCAACAGAAATTAAGGATGATCCAACGATACTTTCGGTTGCAGCAAAAGTTAAGAATGAGTCATTGGTACTTTTAGTTGCATTGGGAATGAAGGAGGATCCATTGATACTTTTGGTTGCAACAGAAATTGAGAATCACTCAATAATGCTTTTACTTGCAACAGAAATGAAATTTGATCTAATGATACTCTTAGTTGCATTAGAAATGAAGGTTGAAACAATGATACTTTTAGTTGCACCAGAAGTGAAGGTTGATCAAATGATACTGCTGGTTGCAACAGAAAGGAAGGTTGACCTAATGTTACTTTTAATTGTAACAAAAATTAAGGTTGAATCTGATGATACTTTTGGTTGCAATAGAGTTCAAGGTTGACCCAATGATACTTCTGGTTGCAACAGAAATGAGGGAGGACCTAATGACACTTTTGGTTGCAACAGAAATTGAGAATCACTCAATAATACTTTTAGTTGCAACAGAAATGAAGTTTGACCTAATGATACTTTTAGTTGCATTAGAAATGAAGGTTGAAACAATGATACTTTTAGTTGCACCAGAAGTGAAGGTTGATCAAATGATACTGCTGGTTGCAACAGAAAGGAAGGTTGACCTAATGTTACTTTTAATTGTAACAAAAATTAAGGTTGAATCTGATGATACTTTTGGTTGCAATAGAGTTCAAGGTTGACCCAATGATACTTCTGGTTGCAACAGAAATGAGGGAGGACCTAATGACACTTTTGGTTGCAACAGAAATTGAGAATCGCTCAATAACACTTTTAGTTGCAACAGAAATGAAGTTTGACCTAATGATACTTTTAGTTGCATTAGAAATGAAGGTTGAAACAATGATACTTTTAGTTGCACCAGAAGTGAAGGTTGATCAAATGATACTGCTGGTTGCAACAGAAAGGAAGGTTGACCTAATGTTACTTTTAATTGTAACAAAAATTAACGTTGAATCTGATGATACTTTTGGTTGCAATAGAGTTCAAGGATGACCTACTTTTAGTTGAATTCGAAATGTAGGTTGACAGAATGATACTTTTAGTTGCACCAGAAATGAAGGCTGATCAAATGATACTGCTGGTTGCAACAGAAAGGAAGGTTGACCTAATGTTACTTTTAATTGTAACAAAAATTAAGGTTGAATCTGATGATACTTTTGGTTGCAATAGAGTTCAAGGTTGACCCAATGATACTTCTGGTTGCAACAGAAATGAGGAAGGATGAATGATACTTCTAGTTGTAACAGAAATTGAGAATCACTCAATAATACTTTTAGTTGCAACAGAAATGAAGTTTGACCTAATGATACTTTTAGTTGCATTAGAAATGAAGGTTGACCCAATGATGCTTCGGGTTGCAACAGAAATGAAGGAGGACCTAATGACACTTGATTGCAACAGAAATTGAGAATCGCTCAATAACACTTTTAGTTGCAACAGAAATGAAATTTGACCTAATGATGCTTCTAGTTGCATTAGAAATGTAGGTTGACAGAATGATACTATTAGTTGTACCAGAAATGAAGGTTGGCACAATGATACTTTTAGTTGCACCAGAAATGAAGGTTGACCCAACAATACTTTCAATTACAACAGAAATTGAGAATGCCTCAATGATCCATTCAGTTCCCAAAATTGAACACCGATCCAAAGATACTTTCAATTACATCAGAAATGAATGAAGACTGATACATTTGATCGCAGCAGAAACGCAACGATTGCAAATTTGGAGCGAAGCGAGCGAACGAGCACGGATCGTTGGTCTAAAGATTAAACCGAGAGAATTTCCCTCGTTTTCTACGATTCCTGTTCCACATTTCGACCTGAACACGGCTGGCCGCCTCGTTGACGTCATTATCCGCTTCGGGCGTTCGCCGAAAGAAAACAACAATACTTTTTTCTCGACGGTCATCGAACCCACTCTCGTGTGCTCATCGTTTCTCTAGCCGATAAACAAATTACAATCGGCATGTGAACGTACGGTACCGAGGGACCTTCGGGTCGTGCCGCGACACCATCGTGCACCACCGTTTTCAGGTCCAGTGATCTTGGGCTCCTTACCAAACTGTCTTGAAAATAGAAATTAATCCCGCGCGGGGATACAAATATTTCTGCCCTGTTCCGCTCTATATTCCCATCGCGGAACTGCAACGCACGCTATCCAATCGCGTTTCTTTCCAAAATCGCCTTCATTAGAAATGTGAACGATCAAATGTTACCTTATACCGTTCGGCACGAAGTCACTTCCGTATAATACAGTTCTGGTACAACTCGATAGGAGAAAAATAAGGGAAAATGTGGAGCAAATTGTTTATTGTTTAATTTTTCAAATTTGGGAATTTGTCAGGATATTTTTACTCAAGTTTATTCACAAGAATGATCATAATTTGAATTCGTCGATTAACAGATCGGTACACGTGGAAATTTTGATGTGGGGTTTAAAGGGATATAGCGATGTGGCGTATGGGGATTTAAGGATTTGGAGGGATTTGGAATATAGAGGTTTGCGAATGCAGGATTTGGGGATATAGAGATTTGGAAATGTAGGATCGAGGTGTTGCATCAATGGTGCAGAGATATGCACAAATTTGAAAATGTATAAATTGGAGATTTCAAAATGATGTAGGCAATGATTTCAAGACATAAGTTAGGTATTTGGACGCATGAATTCAGTGCAACTCGATGATGCGGGGATTTGGGGATTTAGGTGTTTGAAGATAGAGATTTGGAAATATAGGAATTCCGTCATGTAAGACCTTGCTGATGCAGGGATTTCCGGGCATAAGACGAGATATGGATTTACTAACGTATGAACTTGATAATTCCTAAATTTCAGGTTATAGCAAGATATACTCGAAGAGGTACTCGAAGATTTTGGAAACATACCAAGTAATCTAAAAAAATTTGCAAATATAGTTTTACAAAAATTTTAGAGTACAAAAATCTAAATCGAAGATGTACTAAGAATGAAGACCCAAATAGAGATCTATGCACCTAGAGATCTAACCAGTTACACAGATCTGATCACACAATAATCTTATAAGACCAAAATTGTAATTAAAATCAAAACTTATAAGTTTCAACTTGAAATTATAGTTTCAAGAATCTTCTCACAAATGCTAAAAACCCTGAACCAAAAACTGCTCTCAATCAGAGCAGACAGTAAACACTGAAATGCTACCGGTATCGTAGTATGCGTGATCACGTTCGGGGCACTTAAAGGGTTAAGCAGGATCGGGGCCGTTCGCTACAGGATGATTATCCAGGCTCGCATAACCGTCGAGGAAAGGTATGGATGTGTATAGTGCGTCCCGGCGGTGGATGGAAGTCCATCCTTGATGGAGGTTACTCCGGGCCATCGTCCCACATCTCCTTGGATATGAACTTGTGTCTTCGTTCGACTTGCCTTCGTTCGTTTCCCCCACCCTCTACCCTTCTCTTCGTCCCTTCTTTCTGTCACCTCTACCCTCGTCCTCTTCTATCCAGCCTCGAACGTTTCGTTTCTTTCCGTCTGCCGTGTCCTACCACCTCCACGTTCCTGTCTATTCCCCACCATGGCTTTTCTCCTTCTTTGGTATTCTCATCCCCTTCCGACGTTCTTGGATCGAGCCACTGAGTTATTTGGATTCCTTAAGCCGATTGATTATCTTCGAGTTAACCTACACAATTATTTGCTTAATTCTGTTTGCTTGGTTCTGTTTTGGCACCTTTGGGCTTAGTTCTGTTTTGGCGACTGGGCTGACTCTCTTTTGGGTCCTGCGAAATTTGACATCTCTTTAGGTCCTTGACACTGTCAAATAACCCTTGATAACCCTACATAATTTTTGATAACCCTCCATAATCCTTGCTAACCCTCTGTAATCCTTGATAACCCTCCATAATCCTTGATAACCCTTTGAACCCTTGATAACCCCCCGACCTTAATGCTTATACAAGAATTCACTGTTCAAACTCCATCAACCTTAAAATATGCATCCATGGTTCACATCTCTCAAACACAGCTATCATCCCCCAATTAAATTACAGTACAATCGAATTATTTAAGACCATTTCACAAGAATTTCTGGAACCTTCCAAAGTTCGTGAGTCACCCAGTTCGTGCAGCGATTGTAGACTTAGGAGGGTTGGAGTTTGAGCACAGTTCTCGAAGGGTTGAAGTTTTCGGAGTAACTCCACTGTTCTTCCTTTTTCTCCTCGTGTATCGAACTCCCTCTCGACTCGCGGAAAGTCGACGGACAAGGTAGCACGACCCGGATTAAGCTCGCACCATTGGTTCCCTTCGCACTTTTCCTCGACGCGAAGTCTGTTTCATAGGGTCAAGGTACTCGTCGGTACACGTTCTTCGAGAACTCTTGCAACCTCTCAGAAATGGATCAAAGTTTCGATAGGTACAAGTTCTTACAGTTGCAGTTTTCATGAGTGTACAATCACTTGGTTGTTTTCGAGAATTACGTGTCTTTGTACGTACTTTGGTCTGGATGTGTATGGGATCTTTGAAAGTTATCACTTTGATCAGAAAAATGATGTTTGTAGCGAAACACGCTGTAAGTTTACTGATGTTGATAGACAATTTTACTTATGAGTTGTCACCAGTTACATAAATAATCGAAATCAGTAATATATAATAAATAAACTAAATCAATTTCTTCAGTGCGCATCAATGTTTCAACTATAAGAACCAGATCCTATCATGTTGTTCTATAAATAATTAATTTAACTGAATGTATGATCAAAGCCACATATGATCACATGTGAATGTGTTCACATATGAGTATATTCACATACGCCATCCACATACGACACCTATCATCTTGTCCTAGAAATAATTAATTTAACTGAATGTGTGATCACATCCACATATAATCTTATTCACATATGATCACATATGAATGTGTTCACATATGAGTATATTCACATACGCCATCCACATACGAGACTTATCATATTGTCCTGGAAATAATTAATTTAACTGAGTGTGTGATCACATCCACATATGATCACATATGAATGTGTTCACATATGAGTATATTCACACATGCCATCCACATACGAGACTTATCATATTGTCCTGGAAATAATTAATTTAACTGAGTGTGTGATCACATCCACATATGATCACATATGAATGTGTTCACATATGAGCATATTCACATATGTCGTCCATATATGATCATGACAGTCAACATGTTAAGAACAATCATCAAAAATGTAATTTACTTACGATCTACTCATACTGTCCCTTTCCAAAAACGTGTCCTATGTGTAAAAAATGAAGTAACAAGTGGATCCGATGTTTGAAAAATTTCGTCGAGCAGCTATAAATGTATACTTACGGTCGCGGAAGAAATGGTAATACGCCACATGGCGGAATGTCAATGGCCAACGATTGGACGGTGAAGTGGACGGACGGGCAGGTAAACGGCCCGAACGTTGAACCGACGAACGACCTCCGACAACAACGGCCTCCGTTTTCGGTGTCGAAATCGCCGCAACACCACGGGAATAATACCTCGACGAACTTTGCGTTTCGGACTTTTACGATCGCTCGTTAAATCCGATCTTCTCCTTTCTCTAACCGAGCTTGCGAGCTTGTTCGGCGTATAATTAAAAAAAAATCCAAGGGAAAAAGAGGAGAGTAACGAAACTACTCGTGTCTCCGGGGTATCTTCAGTGGGCCCTCGAATGTTTGCTGGCCCTTTACGACCAATCAATTTCAAGCCCTTAACCCTCTCGAATGACGTATATATACGTCGTTGAAAAATTATTGCTAATTGCGAACGATCGTCGGAAACGTTGAATTTTTATGTCAGGCCATAACGAGTGACAGATTTGTCAAGTATCGAGACGCAAAGATTATTCATTTTGCGATTGTTATGCAATCACGATATTCAGAAGAGTATTTCTGATTTTAGGCTCGAAGAGGAATTCGTGGCAGTTCAGGAAGCGGAGTCGCGTCATCGCGGAATGATGTATTCTTTTCGAGAATCCCGGTCCACGGACTAAACGTGCGCACAAACTGCTTAGTCATTGACGGCAAAGCATAAAAAACCCATCGAACGGAAAACAAGACGAAGGGTGAACAAAAGATGTCGACGGACGAAGAATCACTGTGTCATGTATGGGAATGTGGGATTATGGGGATACCTGAAGTATAGGGAATGGTGGGTATATGGTTATGGGGATATAGGGATACAGGACTGTAGAGATCTAGGGATATAGGGATACAGGACTGTAGAGATCTAGGCATATAGGGACACGGGATTATAGAGATCTAGGGATCAAGGAATGCAAGATTATGGAGATCTAGGGATATAAGAATGCAGGACTATAGAAATCTGAGGATATAAGAATACAGGACTATAGAGATCTAGGCATATAGGGACACGGGATTATAGAGATCTAGGGATCAAGGAATACAAGATTATAGAGATCTGGGACCAGGAATTTAAATATCAGGGATTTAAGAAGATTTACAGTGATTTATAGTGATTTAGAAATCCATATTGAAATACAGGACTGTAGAGATCTAGGCATATAGGGACTCGGGATTATAGAAATCTAGGGATCAAGGAATGCAAGATTATGGAGATCTAGGGATATAAGGATGCAGGACTATAGAAATCTGAGGATATAAGAATACAGGACTGTAGAGATCTAGGCATATAGAGATACAGGACTATAGAGATCTAGGCATATAGGGGACACGGGATTATAGAGATCTAGGGATCAAGGAATACAAGATTATAGAGATCTGGGACCAGGAATTTAAATATCAGGGATTTAAGAAGATTTACAGTGATTTATAGTGATTTAGAAATCCATATTGAGTTAAGTATAGAAACACAGTGGTGAACCACGCGTTATATCGCCTTACACCGTATATCCAACGTGTTATATTGCCTCACATCGTATATCCAACGCGTTATATTGCCTCACACCGTATATCCAACGCGCTATATCGCCTCACACCGTATATCTAACGCGTTACATCACCCCTCATTGTACATCGCTGCATATCGTCCTCAATTAAACCCTCCGCGCGTTATATCGCCTTACACCGTATATCCAGCGTGTTATATCGCCTTACATTGTACATTACTGCATATCATCCCTAATTAAACCTTCCACGCGTTATACCGCCTCACACCGTATATCCAACGCATTATATCGCCCCTCATTGTACATCGCCGCATATCGTCTCCGATTAAACCACCACTTATTATATCGCCTCGCATTGCATACCCGTCACGCCCAATCGGTATCATCGATCAGAAACAATTGTAAAAGAGGTGTCTAAAGGAGAAAGGGTGCTGAGCGACATCGACCCAATAAGAACGAGGGATTTTCAGGGACACCGGTCACAGGAAGCACGTCGATGGATCAGGGAGGTCAGGGGCGGTAAGATCGAGAGGAAGGGAGAGAGCGAGAAAGAGAGAGAGAGAGAGATGCTGCCGGGAGAGTCTGGTGTGTTCGGGACGCGGTCGAAGACACGAGACACACAGCGACCGTTCGTTACATAAGTAAGGTAAAGGATCTCCTCTTCTGCTCTCCTTGAACCGATCCACATCCGCGATTATGCCACTTTCCATCGACCTCGCTTCACCTCGACTCGCTGTACGCAGCCAGCACGTGTGAGACGTCCGTGTACGTGAAACTAATTAAGCTCCATTGATCGGATCTAATGAATTTTACAACCTCTTTTTACTTTGTTTCCTCGGTCTTGCGGTTATCTTTATTTACCGACTTTGATGATGTTCAAATTGTATGACTTAGGAACTATTTATTCAATTTGGAAATTGTTTCATTTGAAATTTTATTTTTTTAAACAAAATGACTTATGTTATTGTTAATGTATATGGACAATCAATTTTTTAATATCAAATTAATTTAAATTATATTCCTTCAATGCACTTTTTAAGATTTAAGAGTTGTTTGTATATTTATTGGTTGGATAGTAATTTTGACTTTTTCTTCTTGTTAATTTTGCAAGTTGTGTAAATAATTTTTTTGCTGTAACTATTTTAGAGATTTTGCAGAATATGCACGTGCTCATTGTTTATAAAAAAATATTTAATAAATAACAATTGTATAATGTCTTACTTGTAACTGACTGATGTACTAATACTTTCTATATTCACCATATGTATATTGTTTGTAAAAAATCATTTAATAAATAACAATTGTACAATGTCTTGTAACTGATTGATGTACTAATACTTTCTACACTTATCATATATATATTGCTTGTAAAAAATCATTTAATAAATAAGAATTGTACAATGTCTTGTAACTGATTGATATACTAATATTTTCTACACTTATCATATATATATTGCTTGTAAAAAATCATTTAATAAATAAGAATTGTACAATGTCTTGTAACTGATTGATATACTAATATTTTCTACACTTATCATATATATATTGCTTGTAAAAAATCATTTAATAAATAAGAATTGTACAATGTCTTGTAACTGATTGATGTACTAATACTTTCTACACTTATCATATATATATTGTTTGTAAAAAATCATTGAATTAATAACAATTGTACAATGTCTTGTAACTGATTGATGTACTAATACTTTCTACACGTACCATACATATATTGTCTGTAAAAAATCATTTAATAAATAACAATTGTACATCTTCCCTGTAACTGACTGACGATTTCGCACTCATTGATCGAATTTTGCAACATCGTTCATTAGAACCTTGTTTTCCTTCTGAAACATATCTGACTTCCGAAACGATAAAGCAGATAATTTTCATAAAATCAGACAAGCTGTTATGTAAAACGACTCGCAGTCGTCTCGCATCGTGGGCCAATTTGTTACGTTTGCGGTTTTTACAAAAATGCTAGACCGGCACAGCGACGTAAAGTTAATTAGCGTGGCGTGAACGCTCGATTTATAATGAGTTTTAATTGGACGACTTTCCGTTCGAACCGTGATTCGCGAGATCTTCAAACTGACCGTTAAGCGTTTTACGCCTCGTATATTCCATGATAAATACAAAGTTGCAATACCTTAAGCTCTCCCTTTTTAACGAACATATTTTAAACGAACGATTCAGTGAAACTCTCTGTTTACATATTGAAAAAGAAATTTTCATGTTGACTTCGTGATGTATTTCTTTTTAATTCAACTTTGTTTCAGTGTGTATATATGGACGTTTCTTTTGCGAAATCTTCATTGAAATATTTTCATAATCTTTATGGAAATAATATGTATGTATAATTGTAAGAAGTAGACTTTCTTTTGCGAGTTTGAGGAAGGTGGAGTTTCGAAGGTTAATACCTTAATAATCTTCATTGAAATAATATGTATGTATAATTGTAAGAAGTAGACTTTCGTGAGTTTAAGGAAGGAGTTTCGAAGGTTAATTTTATCCAACTTTTTTTTTTCTTTTTAGAACTTTCTGTTTCGAAGGGTTACACGGGGTTTCCTCATGGGATCGATGACATTGTCGGGGGGTGGGTCATCGACCTTCTCGAATAACCTTCGACAACGCGACCTTGCTGTCGAGCAATGCTAGTCCGGCTGTAATAACCGGGGGAAAAAATCCTACGGGAAAGTATGCCCCGTTATACGCTCGAGCTCTCGCTTCGAGCGGAAAAGAAAACCGCGAGCGAAACGATTTAAACAGTTACTTCTGTTTTACTTCGTTTTGAACGATTCTTCTATTTCGCAACCGAGTGCATCCGGTTTCATTTGTTCGGATACGCGATGTTTGCTCTCTAAAACATGTCGGAACTCATTATTGAAAATAGTTTTCAGTTTTCAAATTTTGGACTTTCAATTTGCTGTATTGGTAATGTAGTAAACTGTATTCGTTTGCTATTTGCATAAATTTTTATATTAATTTTTATATTAATTTTCTATGTGCACTATAGCAAGCTACTACATTAATTTTCTGTATTAATATCACTCAAAATGTATCTTTATATCTTTATATATTTTAATATATTTAATTTGTAATTCTGACCATTGCTGTCGACCATAATATTAACATTACATGCGATTATCAGGTTAAAATTTTATAACTAAATGTATATCATAGTCTACAACTAAAATGCAATACAACAGCATCTCTTTATTTACCCCTTGCAACCCAATATCTAAAAAGTTGAACTAATTAAAAGTTTTGCTATACAAATTTATTTTAGATTAATCTATCCAACATTTATTTTAGATTTACATATTAAAATTGTTCAGTAAATCATTTGTATTTATCCCCTTCATAATTGCACCCCTCAGTTCAAAGGGGTGCACTAACCACTCTACTTTGATTACCATAAACATTTACTACTTTTTCATAACCGAATTATTTTTATTTATTAACTCTGTCATTCTAAAGTTTCTTATGAAAGCATTTTTCACTTATTTTGTTTAATTTTCTATGAATATTTATTTTGAGAAAAGTACTATAAACGTCATCTGCTGGAGAACAATAAAGTTGCGACAGCAGAAAATTGCACTTTTTCACAAAATAGATAATTGTAGCTTCGTAAGAGAAAATTAGACGTACGGCCACAATGTGCTGGAAATAATGACATCAAAGTTTGCATAAAGAGTTAATGAAGATAATTGAAAAATAATATGTTTTAGAACTAAAATGCTGCAGTCATCTAGCGGTAAATTCTCGAAAGTGAATTAAATCTCTATTTCAAGTTTTCAGCCATCTAGTGGTGGAAGACGGGAACTAATGAAAATACTGTTTCAAAAGTGTGTAGTTCACCTTGTTCGCCGGAGAGATGGCGCCACATGTTCGATTTTCGAAAAAATTCAATTAATATTTATTTTATTGGCTTAATTGACTATAATTTTCATCAAATTACATAGCAATGAAAGAATAATTAACATTAGAATGATTTTGATTTTATCGAGCTGTAATAAATTTTAAATCATTCAAAGGAAACTTCAGAATACCGCCATATTCCTATTCACAGATGGAAGCAGCGGTACTGTTTTCAAAAAGCGCGCGCATAAATATAAAAAATGCAAGAACCTGTCAAACTATTTCCACCTATTTAAACTGCGTATTTTTCCACAAACTGCTGTTTCTCGTATCTTGTTTCAATTTAAACTGCAAGAATATTTTAATTACATTTACAACATTGCATGTAAAATTCTATTATAAATCACTATTTACAAAAATTTAATACACAAAGTAATATCACTTTAAAATTGATTCAATAATAAAATATAAAAGCTACACGTACCTTAAAAATAATTGTGTATATATAAGTATGTATATAAATTAAGTTTTACATTAATCTCCACCTAAAAAGAATTTAAAAATTGGAGCCATTTACTGATATAGAAACGCGGCTTGAAGCGGGGCGTGACAGAAATAAAATGGCTGAAACTACAGCGCTAATCGACAATGTCAAGTGATAGAGTGACATACCACTCGAATACCGTCAAATGTATTAATAATTTCTTATAAATTCAAAATTTTAATCGCTTTAATTTAGAAATTCGTCATATGTAAACATGTTAAACGACGTGCCAAAAAAATTATTGCGAAGCTCCGAAACAACTGAGGTACGTTCTCGATAATTAAAGATTCCGATAAACTAATAAATTAACAGTTAAAATTCATGGGTCAGAAGCAATGAATCTTGACATTTTGCTCGTTTATTTACAATATCGTTTTGATACAAATATGTCAATAACAGCATGTACCGCTGAACTTTCCACTGTATGTTCCAGGTTTCATCGTTTCCATTGTCAGTTCCACGTTCCTTGTCTTCTTTTCTTTCACAGTTTACTCTTGTACATTTCTTTCTTTCTCAAAACAAAATATCTCTCGTGTGACGTCAATATTTGCATTGAAATTTATCAACTTTCTATTTACGAGTTGTAATTTTATTTGTTCCGATATGCAAGCGATATCAATTACATTTTCAAATCATTATCGGCCCACTGACGTACATTCCTTACGCTGCTCGTAAACGAATGGCGGGAAATTTGATTTGAAATAGAACACGACGTAATTAAAAATGTATTGTAAAATTTTTTCAGGCTGATGTGCGCGAAGATGAGGAACAAACGAAAAGGTTTCAAGACATTATTGACCTGCTGTGGGCAGCAGGGTATTTTCGTGCTCGAATAAGAGGGTTATCGAATTTTGATAAGGTACATATTAGGTTCATTTTCAAAAATCCTAAATTGTTTTCTTTTACATATATAAAATAAATTATGACAATTTTTATTTGGATTATATTCTAATTTCGACTTAATGTGTATATATTTTTTTTCATAAACAATTGTATTAAATTATTAACATTTTTAGGTAATCGGTGGGATGACTTGGTGCATAGAATCCTGTAATTTCGACGTAGATATTGATTTATTGTTTCGTGAAAATCTTACGATAGGTCAAAAAATGTAAGTACACACACTCGTTGTTTAAAACAATTCATATTCCGTATGAAATATCAGTATTAATGCAATATTTTTTAGATCCCTGACTGAAAAAATAGTCGCCATGTTACCTAAAATGAATTGTCCATACCGGATAGAACCGCATCAGATTCAAGGCTTAGATTGCATCCATATCTTTCCTATTATTCAGGTAAATAAATTTTATTTCCAATTTATGATTTCTGCGACGGGTTTCAATAAATCCATTAATTTTAATAATTCTTTGGGAATCTTTTTTTTAATTCAATTTTTAAAAATCATATGTCTGGAAACTATTTGAATAATCTTATAAATTTTAGTGGCTGGTGAAACGCTCGATGGAAACGCGAGAAGAAACAGCCGATTTTGTACGATCGTTTGCTCTAAATCAATTTCATAAAAAGCATTCGTTTGTCGAAGACGCAGGTACAGCAAAAGCGGTTAAAGAGAATCTCATAAAAAATATTCAGTTGGTTAAAGTAAGCAACATTGTTGGAAATCAAATTTTTAAGTAAATATTTCTGATAGTTAAAATTTTTTTAGAAATCATATGAACCTCGGCGCCTTTTTAAACATAAAGGCGGTTCTACCAGAGATGAATCTACTAGATTTCTTGGAACGGTTTTAGAATATGAAGCACCTTTATATTCTATAAACATTACTGCAGCATCAACCGAAACTGCATCGGCTGAGGATGCTAAAGAAGATGGTAATAAAGAAGAACTAAAAGAAAAGGTGAAAATAAAATGTAGTCAAATATGTTTTTTAAAATATATTTTTTACGTGATATACAGGATGTCTCGTTTGAAGTGAAACACGCAATTATCTTGCAAACTATTCGGTATTGCAAGAATATTTTAACTAAAATTTATTTTCTTTTAACGGAAAAATAACGCATGCTTTAAGAAACAGTTGCATACTTTACTTTTAATAGAACACTTTATTATTGCAACCTAATCACAACATACGAATGCAAATTTTAATGCATAACTGTGACTTATTGTTTAACCTTCTCTATACCGAGTCGGAACAATCGTCCAAACTTAATTTATCTATGCAATTTTAAAAAGAATTATTTTTTTAGGAAAATACTGAACAAGTAGCTGGAAATCTGACTGCCATAGAAGAAAGTTCGGTAAGTAGATATATTTAATAAACATAAAACATTAACAATACAACATTAAATTTTAAAACGTTAAATTTATATAATTCATGTAGGCTCGCTTAAATGTAACGGCAGTTGGAAATATCGTTGGTATTCAAGCGCAAGAGATTGCCAGGGCAGTCGAAAAGTATGCAACCATGTCGATTTCTGAAACAGAGGTAAATTTATCTCTAAGTCAAAGTTCTGTTTATTAAACACGCAACTTTACTTAATAAATTGTTGAACACAGGAAAATAAAAGCTCTAGTTCAGCACTAATCGCACTAGAGAAACAAAAGGCAGCGCTGCAAAACAGGATACGGAAGTTGACAAAAGAGAAAGAAGGTTTAGCCGCTAAACTCGCAGAATCGACTGAGAAATTGAACGAATCTCGCGCAAAGCGACAGGCTATCGAGTCTTCGTTAAAGAAGGCACAGGAAATGGGAATCAACGAAAACGACAGGCACTTATTCCTTTACTTTTTTGTGATATAGAAGTCTCGATATTTAAATTAAAAGAATTTTTAATTCTTTGTTAGCATTTACAAACGTTTGAAAGAGCTTCTGTTAGTACACGACGGTTTGAAGGAGCAGGAACACAGTTTTCGAGAACAATGCAAGTCCCACTTAAATCTTCTGCGGGGTAAACTACAAGAAATTGAAAGCGGAACCTCAGAAGAGGAAGAGGATCGTTTAATAGAATACGAAAAACAGAAAGAGGCTGTTACAAAAGCCAGATTACAACTGGCCAAGAAAAATAGGGCGATTGCTTCTTTAACCAGACAGTTGGACGATGTTCCAGGACGTTCTGAACTTACGCAATATCAAAGACGATTTATGGAGCTGTATAATCAAGGTCCGCTGGATTTTTACGCAACGTTACTTCATTATCTGTTTTGACTAAATTATTATTCAAATTACAGTTTCGGCAAAACACAAAGAAACGAAACAATATTATACACTATACAATACCCTCGACGACACGAAACTTTATATAAGTAAGGAATTATCGTTATTAAACTCCATACAAGATAATTATAACGAGTAAGAAATTCGTAAACTTTATGTTTATATTTGTTGTTTATCGATAAGACGTGTTTGTTATTTTCATGTTTTCTTTCGTCAGAGCAATGGCATCGACGAGTGGCAAGGAACAATTTCTCAAACAGTTCGAAGCGATCGTTGCTGGCGTGAAGCGCAACAAAGCAAAGGTAAGAAACGTTTCTTTTGTGCATGTTCTTCTTTATAACGTGGACTAACAATGAACATGCTGTTTCAAAGTTAAGCAAAGTTCACTAATATATTTTATAAAAAAAAAAAACAATTAAAACATGTTATATACACAAAGCATACATGCTTTTGAAGCTGCTAGGTGTAACATGAGACTCCACAAAAACAAGTTCATTCTCATAATAATTTAATTTAATAAATTTAAAATCAAATCAGTGTGATCATAATTAATAAATGCCTGTATACAATATTTTGTGCAATGGTGTTAGTGCTATAATTTTGAAGCAACTTGTATAAACGCCAAAAGATTATCCACGTGTCTGAAATACAGTATATTTGTTTTTATAATTGATGAGGGATTATGTTTCATGTAGGTAGAGAAACGATGCGCGGACGAGAAGAATAGAAGAGATGCTCTTAGTCGCCAACTGGTCACACTGATAGAACAACAACGGAAATACGTTGCTGCGGTCAGGCAACTCACTATTGAATGTCGCAAAAATGAGGCCTTGCTCGCACAACTACGTGGTCCGTAAATACATATATACTATTCCCGTTTAGTTAAACCAAAAAGAAACGATGTAACAAATCCTCGTATTTTTGCTTCGGTTACTTGTCCCGTCAATGTTCATCAACGTGCAACGTTAAAATGTGTTAAAGGAATGGATGCATCATCTGAGCGGAACAATAGCGCTTAAGAGCAAGACTACGAGGAACAAACGAGCTAGCGGTAGTTTCTATTTATATTCGTGTTCTGTGTATATGAATATGTTAGTAATACGCATAAAACGTTTCTTGTTTTTTAGATACGTATGCTCGAGGATAACGTGATTTTATGAAATTCAGGAATGTGAAACGGAAACTGCTACTTTATTTGTTGTAATATTTATAACAGAATATCACGCAAATTCACTTTTATTTATCTCTTGCATTTTTCATATATAAAATGAGCCTAATTATAGGAGGCGGAGAAAATATTATCCGTGGAGATCCCACTTGAAAAAGATTGTTAAGGATATATTATGACTCTTTTATTCACACCCTGCATGTACTTCAATCTTTCTGTGAACTATGAACATTCTTTTGAACGTTCATTGAATTCTGTGAACATGCATTTTTTTCAAATATTTGCATAACTGGAACCAGTCGACTTCGACTATAAAGGAAGTAGCATGTCTTTAAGAGAACCTAGGAAAAACTAATGCCTAGGAAAAAACCTAGGAAAAAAGTAGTGATAAACGTGAAACTGTCACATGGCGATATAATGCAAGGCTATATAACGAGTAATTATACAATATATTCCAATAAAAATGAATTTTATAATATTTAGACTCGAAATGCCACCCTTGCGCGGGTGAATAACTTGACACTCACACGGCAGCCCGAATGCGATTTATTCGATTTAAAATAGTATCTAAACAGCTAAAGTCACATGATGTTCGCGTGAATCGTGAAGTATAGGTGAACTTGCATGATATATGTACACCTTCGGACAGCAATTTTAGTTTGATAATAGCTTGCTATTTATCGCAGGTCTGTTTTCTCTAACGTGCTCGACGAAGTTCGCGTTTTCCTCGTTCCTCCGTCAGAGTCCTCTTCGTTCGTTATTTTATATTGACTATCGCCATTGTTCCTCTTAGAGGGCTTATGTGTTCACGTGTTTTTTTTGTCTCCCCGTAGATCTATTGTGGCCATTATCAGGATACGTCGATCAGTGATTTTTTTGTCGTTAGTGTTCCTTAGAATGTAGCGGGTGTTTAGCGCGACGATTTGTAACGAAACGTATTATGACGATTGAATCGTGTGAAAATAATACTGCCTGCTCGAATTTGTTCCTTTGAAATTAAAGGAACATGTGCTGTCTGTACGGTGGCTTTTAATGTGATTCAGATGAAAGTATTGCGCGTAAAATGGCAAAAGACGAAGGAGACGACCTCTTGCCGGACAAAGATGCAGCGAAGGGATTTTATGCGAAATACGAACCCAAAGAAATCCTTGGAAGGTTCGTCAGTGATATTTAAAGAAAAAAAGAAACGTAGCGTACTATTTTTATTTGTTCGAAGAATATGCTTCTATGATAGATATGTTCGTGTTTATATTATTAGATCTTGGTGTATTGCAATCACAATGAACGAATCGAGGAATTCATAGCCTTACACATACACAAACTAACCTGTACAATTATATAATTTGATGAAATTAAATATTCGATAGTTTGTTATATATTAATGAAATAAAGTCGGAAGAATTTCGAAAGGATAATTTGATATACACAGCAGGTTACATACAGGTTAAGTTGCATTGACGTACAAAAATTGTTATTCAACAAATGTTTATATTTAGCAATAATCAAACACAAAACCTGTACTGCTTATGAATCAACAAACGATGACAACATTCACTGCTGTTTTAAACAATTAATGAATTTAAAGCTACTTGACTTTACTAAGGAAATTAGTAATTTTTAGTTTAATGAATATTGGATTAGTATTTGTCACAAACTAAATGATGCTTTGACATTTACAGAGGAATATCTTCCACTGTAAGAAGATGTATAGAAAAAGAAACAGGTATAGAATATGCCGCTAAAATCATAGATATTAGTAATGAAACTAACGAGGATGGTCATACTATGAAAGATGCCACGTTACAAGAAGTGCATATTCTTCGTAGGGTAGCTGGCCATCCTTATATTAGTAAGTTTTGTAATACACCTTTCAATGCATAAAGACTTAGATTTATTTACTCAATACACTGTAATATATTACGATTGTTTGGAGAATAACACATATCTTTTGTTTTCTAGTTGAATTACATGACGTCTTCGAGTCCAATACATTCATATTTTTAATATTTGAAATTTGTAAAAATGGAGAACTATTTGACTACCTCACGTCTGTTGTTACTCTTTCTGAGAAGAAAACAAGGTATATCATGAGACAAGTTTTCGAAGGAGTTCAACATGTACATAATCAAGGGATAGTTCATAGAGATTTGAAACCAGAAAATATATTACTTGATGATAGTTTAAATGTAAAAATAACTGATTTTGGATTTGCGAGAATGTTGAAAGCAGGAGATAAATTATATGGTTTGTAATTATTTTATTGAAAGAGTTGTATGTTATATTATTTACTAAATCATAATTATTGTTTTGTAGATCTTTGTGGTACTCCAGGATATCTTGCACCGGAAGTACTTAAATGCAACATGTTTGAAAATGCGGAAGGCTATGGCCATGAAGTGGATATGTAAGTTGATAAATTTTAATGTTTACATGTTTCCTATATATGTATACATTATTAACACAGCAATGTAAGATTAAAAATAATTCATACAAATAATAAATAAATATTAATATTTATTTCTTTTTCAGATGGGCCTGTGGAGTAATTATGTTTACATTGTTAGTTGGTTGTCCCCCTTTCTGGCATAGAAAGCAGATGGTTATGCTTAGGAATATTATGGAAGGAAAGTACTCATTTACATCTCCAGAATGGGCAGATATAACAGGTAAATATCACTTATCATTGAAATAAATGAAAATTATTATGCAAAGTATTAATATCTTAAAGAATAGGAGATACTATTTTTCAGAACATAAACGTATGCTTCATTAATATAATGCATGTTTTAGTATGCATCATTTTCAGAGTTTTGTTGTAATTTCTGTAAGCATTAATTATTATACTTTGTCAAATAAATATTAAAGAACAAAATAAGTATTTTAAAAAAGTTAAAAATAATTCTGCTTTAATAATAAAAAGCATGTATAACTTGTTAAATTTTTTGTTACATACTTTTTTCTTCTCTTTTATGTATAATTAAAATCATTATATATGCTATATCATAATAAATAAATATAATCATTTTCAAAATAATTAATACTAGTTAAATAATATTCAGTAGCAAAACTTTTGTCAAATTTCCAAGCCTGTGCAAGACACAGACCTAAAATTTTAGGTGGAAGCTTTTGTCATTGAATAGTAGTGATGTACAAGCATGAAATAAAATCCACGGTAAAATCAGAAAAATATTATCATCTTGAACATTCATCTATCAAAGCATCTTGATGCGAGCTGCTTCATATGTGGAAAATATATTGAAGGTAAGAGTTGTCATTAACAAATCTTTGAACATGATGCACATTCTTCTAAATAGATAGGGTATAATTGAGTGTACGTTTTTTTGTCTATTATAAATTTTTCATTTTGTTTCACAAACTCTTATAGGCTTAAGTGTTTTTATAACGTTTAGCTTTTTAATTATATTTTCAGAAGCTCCAAAAGATCTGATACGAAAGTTACTAGTTGTTGACCCCAAGAAAAGAATTACTATTAAAGATGCTCTGGAGCATTCGTTTTTCCATACAGTGGTAAGTGTTTTAGTTAATAATTTTAAAATGATAATTAAAGACGGCAACAACAGGAGAACGGCATGTCATTGAAACGTCCGTTACTTTATGCATTTAAAAAAAAAGTGTACTATATTTATAATTTTATGTTTTTTATTTGTTTGCTTTATATGTTCATTTTTTTTTATTCTCACAATAAAATATTTTGGCTGTCGCAAAATATCGAACATTATTTCTCAAATTTCTGTTTAATATCGATTTAAGAAGTTATATGTTACTAATCTGGAAGTGGTTGAAAAGAAAGAAAGAGAGAAGGAGATGAAGCTGATCATAATATCATGATAATTGCAAATTGTTGGAATTGCAGCTGTGGGATCAAGACATCGCTCCTCTAAAACGTTCTCTATCGACTAATTCGCGACGTCTGAGTAGGATTTCTCAGTTAGCTTTGGTAAATTGTTTTTACTTTTATTTTTATTCTTTTTTTTATTTTCTGTTAAATGTAAGTTTTTTCATAAAATATGTAACAATTAACAATTTAATTTTTAATAATGTTTTAAATTAATCAGATACGTGTATATTTTGTTTTATGTTTTTAATTTGTATTTTTGTTAAGTATATTACACTACCAAAACCTCTGTCTAAAGACTAAAGTTTTATTCGTATCGGTTATAATTATGCATAACTGATTAATATGTTATTTAAAATTTAAACTATGTTAATAATAAGCATTAAATTTATTATACAAATAATACAAAGCGCGATACATTAATGTGATGCATGTTACAACAAAAAATCGATGTGAAAGTGCAATGTTTAAAGCTTCATATGTTTTCGTGTTAGCTTTTTGCTCATTGTCTGTTCTCTATTTGTAAATAATATGTAAAAGTCATCAAAATAATTTTAACTTTTTATATTTTGAGTTGCTGTTATTGTTCATATCATTTTTAAAATTTCTTTTTAATCACTCATAGCATACACATTTTGCTACACTTAATAATCTTATTATTGCAGGAAACTATTTAGTAGAGATATAAGATTATATGTTGTATTTAAATATTTTTCAAGTTTTTATCTTATGTTATACTTTGTACAGGAATTAAAAGCGAAATCGTTTAATGCAAGGAAAAGATTCCAGTTAGCAATCATTTGTGTTCGTGCAGCAGTTCGTATTAAACGACTTCACATAACACCAGAGCCTCTCTCGACTCAAGTGGCATGCACCGATCCTTACCGAATAAAAATTTTACGGAAGGTATTATCTAACTTTATCACACAAAATGAATGAAATTAATTTATACGTTAGATATCAGGTAGTACATTATTTTATTTTTAGGTTATCGATGGTTGTGCATTCAGAGTTTATGGTCATTGGGTGAAAAAAGGCGAAGGACAAAATCGGGCTGCTCTATTTGAAAACACGCCAAAGACGGAACTCAAGCACCTGTATGTTAGTAATTTAAGCAGATAACCAATGCTTTAATAAAGCATTATTTAGTTAAAATTATTAATTCTTATATTAGTTACGTTTACAGTATCTAAACAAAATATCAAATACGAAAAGATGAAAAAATAATTTATATAAAAGGGTGAAACATATATAGTTCTCTGTTTGTTTTTGATTATAGCACGAATCATTGTTTAAACCATTTTTACAGGGATTATAAAGTATTCTTCCCTTTTTTGTCAATGAATTGGTGATATTACGACATGATTTTGAATTGTATCCAACACTGTTGAAAACAAATGTTAAACTATTTAGTTTATGAATTTGTTGCCAATTTTAGGGATTTTTAACGTAGTCTAATTTATTGTTTTAAAGTATAGTGATGCTCAATAAACGTAAGCTAAATCCAACGTTTAAAAAAAAATGTTCAGAATTGTGGATAATTTTTTTTTTTTTTTTTTGTTTTTGTCTTTAGTAGTATGCTGTAAATCATTAGCATCGCACCCTTGGAGTGTACTTTGTGTCTAGATAAAGTATTAAAACAGTAAAGTATCAAAACAGTTTGAAACTATTTAAAATTGTTAATGTGTTTCTTTACAGTATTTTTTGCTCTTTTCGTAGCACAATATAAGAAGTAACTTATTTTCAAAACAATAAATATGTTTAAAAATAAACCTTTGCATGTGCTAAAAAAGAAAATAAGACTTACAACAAGTATATACGAAATATAGATGCTGGTGCTAGTACGTACAAACATAACATAATGTGACCTAAATGTAGGAAATTGTTTTGTTCCATGACTCTTATGTTTGTACGTTTCTATAAAATATACTCGAAAGTTGTGTATATAAATGTCGTATAATTTATTACAAATCAGCAACACACAAAAAAGTTTGTACTAATTATTATTACAATATATTCTTGATGTTCTATCATTTCAGTTTGATATTACCAGCAAAGAAAATTTAATGATCTGTAAAAAATGTAACAAAATCGTACAGGAAAAAAGTTTAATGTGATTTAAAAATAGTTTAATTTATATAAGAATTGTCAAGGCTATATGTACAGTACAAGATCTAAAAAAGTTAGTAGACAAATTGAAAATATTAATTTCTTGTAATTATAAATACATTCAAATTTGTATTGTTGAAAAAATGTATTCCATACTAATATTATTTACTAAGATCTGTATGTAGATTGTAGTATACGATTTATGCAAATTCTAGTCATATTTTGTACTGCTGAATTTGTTTTAGATTATAAAATATGAAAACTGTATGGAGCTAATTTTTTTTAAATAATAAAATAATAATTATATGCTTCCGAATAATTTTAAAAATTTGGTTTAAATTAAACTTAATACATTGTTTAAACGGTAATAACGAGTAATTAACACATGTAAACGTTTTAATCAATCTATTTATATACAGTATACATATTTTGTGCATACGCATATACATGTATCAAATATTTTTGTTATCTCTCTGTAAAAAAAAATGATTTTCACTTTTTACAATAAAGCTAAATTTTATTGTCAATTATAAAATATTTATGTTTTGTATACCTTTAATAAACTTTCATTTATGTTAGGTTCATGCAAAGTGCATCATAAATACATTTCAATAATTTTTACGTGTTCTGCAGAGTATTTATGTATTCATGATAAAATCAACCATTAATAGCTTGTACATTAAAGTATTAATTTTTAAAAAAATATTGTCAAAATTCCATTTCAAATAAATGCAAAAATTATTGTTTTCCTTTTTTTATTTCAAATGTACCGTTAATACGAAAAATTCATTTTTGATAAAAAGTCGGGAGTTGTATTAAGTTTTTTTAATTAACAAAATTGAAAAAGATCATAAGTTAATTTTTATTAGATTGACGGTACAAAATTTTATTTCATGCACAACTGCGTGCGCTAATTAGAAAATCATTTATTCAATTTCAAAGTTTTTAATTTTTATGTTTTTAAATTTCAAACTTACGAATTCTGAAGGTGTCAATTTTTAAAATTTTTAAATTCGAGATCTTGGATTTTTAGCGCTTCGTTGCTGCATATACCATATACTTCGGCGCCCGAAAGCTATTAGTCGGGCATTCGATCTGCCCATCACTGGTCTATGAGAACACCTTTGATCGAACCGCGAACAAACCGAATAAAAATACAAGTAATTACCTTTCAAAAAATTGACGGGACGTAGTTTTGGCGCGCGCGCAAAAGTAAACAATGAAATGTACAGTCGTACATCGTAGATGTGGCAACAGCGCAGAGCTCCCGATCCATGTGACAGAGAAGGAACGTGACAAAAGGTGGCAGAGGGTGACGCCGCCGAGATCGGAGTGAGTGTTTGCCCGGGCGAGCCGGGTGTCGGGTGTGCTGTGTACGATTGTCGCGATATTCGTCCGTTCTGGCGTCCACCGGAAGGTAAGCGTACGCGCAAAAGATATTAGTTGGCTCCGAAATCCGAATTCGCTAAATATCTCGTAATGGTACCGACGAAAACTTGAGAAAATCGCGAAAAAAGTGTACCGAGTAACGAGCGATATACAGCAGCTCGACACTTCTCTTACACGCCCAGCGGAGTGCTGCGTCACATGGGCTGCGTTCATTGGTCGATACAGCCAGGTGACGTCACGAGCCGCGCTCCGATTGGTCCATACCTCGGGGCCTAGACACGTGAATCGTGGCCAAGCAAGCATGGCTGTTGATGCGCAGTGGTTAGCACTTGTAAAATGTTTCTGCCACGCGCTAGATCGATCAGGTTATAACCGTCGTGTACTGTGAAACGCCGTGAGATCGTCCGCTGTTGAAAAATTGACGAGTGCTACGTGATTATCCGCGTGTGTCGCGTGTTCGGCAGCGTAAATAAACGGAGAAATTCTCGCGAGAAATTGATTTCCACCGTGGAAGTGGGTTTTCATCGTGTTTTCAGTGTGACCGGGATACAATCGTGGCATACGCGTAAGTTCCTGATTGTTTTCTATGCGTTTGTCGCGTCACCACGCCCGTTTAAAAGTCTTCGGGGAACATTATCTCGTCAGGACTGTCGCCTATTTAATTAACATGTGTATAGGTGGTTGCGTGGCGTGTTTTCCGTGCCATAATAGACCCAGCCAATCGCACGGTACTTCAGCCGATGACGTCACGTTATCGCGACCTCCTATTGGTCAACGATGCGTGCGTCGCCCGTCTAACGTGTGTGTCGCTTTGTCAGTTTAAGGAGCTCGTTCCGTCTACAGCCACGATTCTTCGCTTTTCGTACTGTTACAGCCTCTCTTTCGCTAACTCGCCACAGTGCATCGTTCCTCTTTCCTATTTTTGCATGGTTGCGCGTGCCACGGAATGCAATTGTGCCCCGACTCGCGATCGTTGTACGCTTTCGCGATTACGTTGCCCGGGATATATCTACTTTTCAAATCAGCGGCGGAACCTCGTTTCTCTGCTTCGCCTTTCCCGCCTCTGTCTCGTCAACCTTTTTTCTTCGCTTGCTGATTTCTCGAACACCGCCGGCCGATTTTCTCTACGTTGTACACTCGCGAGTATGGTAGGCTTCCCTAGGGAAAATGGCGAGTAAGGGTACAATGCCCCACCATTCTTTAACTTTTTGTTAGGAAATTTTCAAACACGCTAATTTTTCAAATTAAAGATGTGAAAATTTAAGAATTTAGTCATTTGCAAATGTCATTTGAAAATTTGAAAACTCAGGGATTTCTAAATTTAGAAAGTAAAGCATTTGGAATTTCGAAAATTTTACAATTAAAACATTTGGAAATTAAATTATTAGCAAATTTGGAAATTTAAAGATTAATAAATTTGATTTTTTTGAAATTTAAAATTTGACAAATTTTTAGAATAAAATTTTTATCTTTTGAAATGTTGAAGATTTTTAAATTTGGGATTTAAGAATAAAAATTTTGAAAATTTGAACATTTTTAAGTAAGCGCATTTAGTTACCCGAGATCGAAGGCAAATGGTGGGGGACTTCTCCCCCTACACTTATCCCTATGTAGAGGAAGCCTACCTTGCACTGGTGTGTACACGCTTGCATTTGCGAATATGCTCTTGCGCGTACGAACGCCACGTAACGACTCTCGTTCCTGTTTTCGATAATACAAGAACGGTCAAACTAATTCGACGATGCCTTATAAATCGTGTATGTAGATTACTTTACATTCCAATATACCATTTAATTAATTACAGCATACGTATCGCCAATACAAATAACATTTCATTGTTCCTAATTTAAACTTCGCACCTTTATACCTTTTGAATTACTTTCTTAATATTTTTAACTTTTGCATAATATTTTTGAACTTTGGTTTTAGTGTTTTAATTAGTATAATAAAAATACATTGTTCACTATAATTAATATATAAACACATTAATTAAAAACTAAATATTTTATTGAATTTGATTTAAAAACGAGCACAATATTAGCCTACACATACGTCGAAATTTGCTTCTTGTAGTTGTTACACTTTGTTCACTGGTGAATCTCTATGAAACGGGAAACGTGTTTTGCAGGTATAAAGAAGATTAGTCGATTTTGTGCTTTACTTTCTTTTTCGACTGTTATGTTAGATCGTTTGCAGTAATCAGAGCTCGAGATGCGTGCTAATGCTCTGCGCTCGAGGAAAGCGCACGTTGCGCCTGCGCATTTCCTCCGTGTGGTATTACGAAGACGTGGTACGTGGAAGGGGATCAAGCTTCCCGCGCGACTGCGTTACGTCACGCGTACGTCACGTGACGTATACTCAAACACCGGTCGTGTCCGTGCCGTCTGCAGTTCTATTCGGCCAAGCTAATAATATTATCGGGCAACAAAAAACTTCTAAACATTAAAAAGAACGATCACGTAATCGTATAGTTGTTAAATAATCCAAAGTCAACCGTGAAAGATGTGGCATACACCATTTGACCACGGTAACGTTTACGCTTTTCGTGACGTCGATAAGCCGTTATACCGTATTCAGCGTGTATTCGATGTAATACGAACGCGTGAAAAACGGTGCAATTCTATACATATTTACGCGATTTACGACCTTTCTACTCGCCGTTTGCCAAGGTCGACGAATTAAGAACCGACGGTTACTACTTACGTTCCCCCACTTTGTCCACATCGACACCGTGGTCTGGTGCATTTTTAGTATAACAGAATCGTTGGTTTTTTCGTTGGTACACAGATTGCCACCCGCGGCTGGCAGCAGCAGAAAAAGAGGAGGGTTGAGACACGAGAACGGACTCTCGACTTCTTCGTCCTCGGCAGCCGGCGACGGGAATCGACGGTCCGATCGCAGAGTCTCAATCTCCCGAAGGATCTTGAAGAGGAACAAAGTTCGTCGTGGAGCGAACCGGCAACGTCAGGATGAGCCTGGAAACGTTGCTGGAAGCGGCGTGGTTCGTCGAGCAGCAAGAGAAAAAGAGGGAGCGCCTTGCGAGCAGCTCTTCCTCCTCCTCCGATTATCCGCTCGCCGTCGCTCCCCACTCCAACCATCACAACTCCAACGAGCCACGTGGTGAGTACCACGCGCCACTTTTCAGTGATCGTTCGCAATACGTACGAATATACAGTTACTCACAAAATTGAGCGTACACCGACGATAGGTTTCCCTAAGGAAAATAGCGATGTAGGAAAAAGAGACCCTATAGTGTAAAGTTTACGATACGTGATAATGTCCTTCGTGTTTGTTTTATCTGTACAAATGATAAAATCAAACATTTTTTTTTTTTACATACGAACCAACTTAATCTAACGATGTTTACGGATAATCAATTGTTGGAAAAAAGAGTTTCGTTGCTACGTGCGAAATGAGAGACACTGCAGTGTACATGCGAATAGCACGCGATGACCCACGCGTTCACCGCCTCCAAATTAGGTATGATTTCCCTCGCAACAGTGATTCTCAGACACGTTGGCAGTCTTTTATGAAACGCTTAGTGGAAAGTTCCATGAAATGTCCAAGCAGTAAACATATACAGACAAATTTCTTTTACATCCTATTTCAATTTATCTATCACGATAGGAATTTACGTTTTGACTAGTTTCTTTTACGATTGAAGACTTTGCGAGCAAATTCTCGGGTCGGTGGGTTTCGGAAATTTTCGTACTCAGCGTGAACGTTTCTGCTCGAACTAGTATCAAGCTATATCAGCTAGTACCAAGTTATATCTTTAGAAAATAAGTAAACCAAAGAAGGCAACTTTGAAAAATAATATATTGTGTTATGTAGAATTGATAAGAAAATTATAATAATAATTCAATTTGAAAATTAAAAATTCTTATATTGTTAAATTTATTTAGTTTTGTTTAAACTTCAAATTTTTATTCTAACCTAATTATAAATCTAACCTAACAGTGAAATCCTTTTATTTGTGTTTAAATTTTGGATGTAATTTAAGGCAAGCTTTAAATGATGAAATTGTGTTACAGATAAGGTTAGGTTTGATTGGAC